CTATGACCCCCACCTACTCTCCTGTCCACCAGCAAGAGTCACTTCATACAGGAACAGCTTACAGTACTCTGGACCTTACCTCTGGAACTCACTCCCCCTACAACAACGACAGCAGCTCAGTCTCAGAACTTTTAAACAGTTTTTATCGAATTGTATTTAAGATTAGTTATTTGAATATGTGCTATTTTTAGACTTTGTATGTATTGTGAATCTGTTAAACTGTTAGGTGTTTGTGCTTTTGTACCAGGATTTCCTGAAAAACAGGCCAGAGTGGCCTGAGTGTGATACCTGGTTAAACAAATAAAGTTGAAAGTTGAAATACTTCCCCGCGATGATCTTCCCCTTGACTGCCGCCACAAAACCTGACACTACATGGTTATACGCTTCCAAACTTTTGTAGTTCTTGAACTGATCGTTGGTGTAGTAACTTGTCTCGAGTACCAAGTAACTGAACAGGTCTGATTGTTCTACAGGTGGCAGGCATTGTGTGTCAAACTGGTCACTAGGTACAGTCACAGGGTCAATATCAATTACTGATATTTTCTCAACATATCGCTTCTTTACGTGGTTTTCTAAAGAAGCTGCATACTGGGACAACACTGGTACTGTTTTGGCAGGTGGGGACGGCAACATCGTGATCGCTGGTTCGACACCTAGAAAATAAAGTAAGTACCCATTAAATACCGACTAAACATAACTTTACACGGTGATTTTGATACGCGTGGCAGTCAGAAGACCATTGCGCCTTGGTGCTAAAGGAACTCCGAACGATTTCACCGTGTCAGCCCAACAGAATGTCCGATCTTAGCACTAAAAACGCCGTCAGGTCCTTTGATGTACATCTTGTGAGATGTTAGCCATTTTTTTACTGTAAAATTACACCGGAAAACTACAACTACCGGTACGCAAAAATGCCCCCTTCCAACACTGATAATTTACTTCCGCAAACTCAAGGCGGTCGAAAAAATTCTGTCGACAAAGATCACAAGCCGTCATGTGAATTTTTTATGTAAGTCCAACAAAGAGATGATAGTATTTTGTGTACTTTTCAAAACAAATTCACGCCGTAAGTTAAAGCGGCGCGGTGAAACTGAAAGGGCGAGATTAAGAGTAAAAGTCGCCCGCGGGCATGCAAAACTCTAGCATTATGCAACATAATGGGAGGTTGACCCAAAACCATTAATTTTGAACCAGCAATCTCTAGTACAAACAACGATTTGCATTTAAAAGAAAACGTAGGCTTACCATTGATTGAAGGTGACCGACCCGCTCCACTGGTTCAGGGTCCCGCTACGGCAAGTTTGTCGGGAGAGCTCGGAGAAGGAATCAGACACACAGACCAAGGAAACTCGGACAGACACACCGGTGACTCGCACACAGAACTGCTCAAGACACACTGACCAGGTTCTCTTTGTTTCAATTCATTTATTGAGAAAGTATGACACTTAGGTGACAGACATACGGCTCCTGTCCTCAGTAGGACTCCCTATAGCAGATAGCCGCTGAAGTCCATTCACACATACGTTAGTTATATCATCAAAAGGCTTCCTATTCTTTCACAAAGGTGACAATGTGTTTGAAATCCTTTTCATCTTTTAACCATCAAAGGCTGCAGAATTATCGTGTAGCTGTTGATTTCTTGTGCCGTCCGAACGGCGACACTTTCTATGCAGGACTGCCCTACCATGCAGAAATGCCCTACTGTCAATCTCCAGCTGGTTGCCCCGGTATTTGGAAAACTGACACCGGAAGTGAGCGGGGCTCAAAAAGTACGGTGGCCCATAAGGTCGGAAGGTCAAAAAACAATTCAAACGTTTAGGTGGAAACAAACTACAAAGATTATACCAGTGATGACAAAAAATTGAAGTAACAATCATCTATTTTACTACGGGGGACACTTCTGCATCGGTGAGGCAGTTCTGCATGGGGCATTTTCTCGCATGGGGCATTTCTGCATGGGGCATTTCTGCATAGGGCAGTTCTACATGGGACATTCCTGCATAGGGCATTCCTGCATAGGGCATTTCTGCATAGGGCAGTTGTACATGGGACATTCCTGCATAGGGCATTTCTGCATAGGGCATTTCTGCATAGGGCATTTCTGCATAGGGCATTCCTGCATAGGGCATTCCTGCATAGGGCATTTCTGCATAGGGCATTCCTGCATAGGGCATTTCTGCATAGGACATTCCTGCATGGGACATATCTGCATGGGGCATTCCTGCATGGGGCATTCCTGCATAGGGCATTCCTGCATAGGGCATTTCTGCATGGGGCATTTCTGCATGGGGCATTTCTGCATAGGGCATTCCTGCATAGGGTAGTTCTGCATGGGGCAGTTCTGCATGGGGCAGTTCTGCATAGGGCAGTTCTGCATGGGAAAGATTAAGGTTGAGAGACCAGCACTGGTGCCCGGGTTTCGTCCTTCACTGTTCACCGGCCTAACAGTAAGTGGCAAGCATAATATCAAGTGAAGGATAAGAATAAGGACAGTAAGATTTGATCCTGTAATAACCGAGGACCTTAGAAAATCTAATTTTCTAAGCTCCTTTACATTTTCTAAGCTCCTTGTACGTATTATTGTGGTTTAATACTTTGACAATCCTGAGTCAATACTGAAAGCTTTCAATGAGCTTGATTCGTAGCAGAAATGTCCCATGCAGGAATGCCCTATGCAGGAATGCCCTATGCAGAAATGCCCTATGCAGGAATGCCCTATGCAGAAATGCCCTATGCAGGAATGCCCTATGCAGAAATGTCCCATGCAGAAATGTCCCATGCAGAAATGTCCTATGCAGAAATGCCCTATGCAGGAATGCCCTATGCAGGAATGCCCTATGCAGGAATGTCCTATGCAGGAATGCCCTATGCAGGAATGCCCTATGCAGAAATGTCCTATGCAGAAATGCCCTAAGCAGAAGTGTCCCCCGTAGTAAAATAGATGATTGTTACTTCAATTTTTTGTCATCACTGGTATAATCTTTGTAGTTTGTTTCCACCTAAACGTTTGAATTGTCTTTTTGACCTTTCGTCCTTTCGTCCTTATGGGCAACCGTACTTTTTGAGCCCCGCCCACTTCCGGTGTCAGTTTTCCAAATACCGGGGCAACCAGCTGGAGATTGACAGTAGGGCATTTCTGCATGGTAGGGCAGTCCTGCATAGAACACCGGGCCGGCCTTTCACAGCCGAGGCGCTGAGGTACACCAAAATGGCGGCCGCCCGTATTGCGCAACCCCCGTGACGTCACGTGAAAGCCGAGANCCTGCTGATAGGAACGTAAAACAATACATAAACTAAGCACTACATTCGTCTTTACCCGATTCGTATGCCACATATCCTTGCATGGGCTTGGCATCAACATTCGAATCTACACGGAGCAATGTCTCGCTACATGTATCATAGAACCGTGCGGAAGGACAGGACAGGACGGACGGAATGAACTCAAATTCCCGTCTCAAAGGGCAAAAATAAAGAATCGGGACCGTTTCTGCTGAGGAATAAGTACGTTGTAATACTATCAATCCGAGGATGCTCAAACTTGCAGCATGCAAGGTGCCGCAGTATATTGAAATTATTTAATATATGGTGAGAATGTATCAGGGCCCCTTTTCTGTGTCATATGGTAGAAAAATATATTGTCGCGTAAAAATAGTCCACAGTTACTCGGGTATTATGGTCTTTCTCCGTTTGAAAAATGGTTTATCTGTCTCGAGTTAAACATAATCTATGACTTCTAAATGTTCAGGAACTCAGTACATACAGCACCGTGTATATAGACACGGACCGTAGTAAACTTCGGGTAGGTTGTTGACTGAGAAATTATGGTTTCCAGGCTGATAACGAAAGAATTGTTTAATCTAAAGAGAAACTAAAATAGTCGACAGTTACCCAGTATTATGGTCTTTCTCCGTTTGAAAAATGGTTTATCTGTCTCGAGTTGAACATATTCTATGACTTCTAAATGTTCAGGAACTCAGTACATACATCGCCGTACATATAGACACGGACCGTAGTAAACTTCGGGTAGGTTGTTGACTGAGAAGTTATGGGTTCCAGGCTGATAACGAAAGAATCGTTTAATCTAAAGGAAAACTAAAATAGTCCACAGTTACCCAGTATTATGGTCTTTCTCCGTTTGAAAAATGGTTTATCTGTCTCGAGTTGAACATATTCTATGACTTCTAAATGTTCAGGAACTCAGTACATACATCGCCGTACATATAGACACAGACCGTAGTAAACTTCGGGTAGGTTGTTGACTGAGAAGTTATGGGTTCCAGGCTGATAACGAAAGAATCGTTTAATCTAAAGGAAAACTAAAATAGTCCACAGTTACCCAGTATTATGGTCTTTCTCCGTTT